GCATGATATTAATTTTTTTGGCTCAACCCTTGCACGTTATTTTTTGCGTACAGTCAGATATTTTTCTTCTAGCAGAAGAAGTTGCACGATATTTTTTTTGAGGTTTAAGTGCTTGGTCGACAATCTTTTGGGGATTTACGCAACCCCCCATCAACTATCTAATGGTCCGTCCCTTAATATCATAATTTCTAAGCTTCTAGCATTCAAGTTTGGAGCCAATGTAGCTTAGCATTCCAATTATTCACTTGGTTTTCATTGTGCTTCATAGGGAAATTATATATTATAAAACCTGCTTGAACAATAGAGTAATTTAAAGCCCGTGGAGGGATTCGATATTCAGCAGGGAAAAGCGGGGAATAAATGAATTGAATTGGTCATTACAAATGCACAGGGCTATAAAAGCCATTTACAGAATTCGTGTCTGTGCTGCCTGCGGCCTACGGCCTCGCGTTTGTAAACCCGATACAGCACGGCCACTCGTTCTGCAAGCTACACATGGCCACTCATATATAGTCCGGTGAATTAAGGAATGGATCATAAGTAGCGTGCATCCATCGAGTTATGGATGCACGCGGGAGGTTGCTAAGCGCGAAGAAAAGCGTAAGAGTTGCACGACGCGAAGTGGAGTGCAACTCTAGCTTTTTTGAGTGCTTAAGCAACCTCCCAAGTGCATCCATAACTTGATGGACGCACAGCTACTTATGATCCATTGCTTTTATAATATAGTCAAGTCAACAAACAAGAAATGAATACAAAATATAGAATGTATTTGTTGATCATGCCCTAAATTCTCCTTATGCACCTTGCGTGAATGAAAAGCACAAAGGCTCCAAAAACAGAAAAACAGTCGTTTTGAAAATGGCAGCTTTACACTGAAGACTTATATGACTAAAATAATTGCAAAAATTTAGCTTACAACAGAATCAAAAATGTCCAAAACTACGGAGAAAGTGATTTTCAACTGTAAGAAGTACATTTCAAATGTTGACATATCTTAGTACAGTAATGCCAAGAAAATCAAATGAAAAACACAGTGGCTGTCTTTGTTGTGGTTGACGATGTTCAAGTTTGTTATCGTACAATGACTTAGCAATGGAAAKMWTCTYGTACACGGATCAAAACTAACTGACTGAACTGGATTAATTTTCTCTGGGTAGTATGCTTTGTCGGCTTTCACTCCCATGTAGAGATTCAGAAAGGACTTCACTGCAGTTGTGAAGCTGCGAAGTAGATGGTGAGGGTGATATTTTTAGTTAATTACTTTGGAAATACTTTTGTTGAATAAAAACACGATAACAATATTTTTGTATTTGTTTAATCATTGCTAAAAACCCTTTGAATATAGAAACCGACCGATTTGTAGTTTGCTTTGTCTTTTTGGAGTGACGCTCTGACACAACCTTGTCCAGCTCACTGTTTGAAAGATGCAAATCTTGACGTTTTATTACTAGGCTGATCAAATGACAATTCTATACTAAATGATTGATGAGTATTTTCGCTAGTTTTTTCAGTCATTTTCAGTTATTCTTCTAGATAAATTGTCAGAAAAAAGATACAAAAAGCAAAAAAAGCTGACGTGAGCGTGCAACCCATGGGTAAATGGTTCATGCTTTCAACCAATCAGATCGCGCGGATTTACTTGRCTATATTATAATTTATAATGTTCTATAATGACCTATTCAATTCAATTCATCATTTCCGCTTTTTCATACCAAATACTAAATGTACTAAGTTAGAAATAACTTAGCTATGCGTAATATAAAATTAAACTAGCTGACATGAATTTAAATTCAATGCAATAAAGCCGAAAAAGTACTTATCATGTATCTCCAAGCTGTACTCCATTTTGCTCCTTCTGATCTTTATTTCTTTTACCGAGTACAGCAGCAGTACGCCACGGTTTTTCTCTCGTTTACCCCCTAACGGCTCAAAATCGGCAAATAAATCGCTATAATATCAAAGCTCAATAACAAAACGTTGTTGAGCGTATTTCTAATGATAAAAAAGCTCATCGTCACTGCTAGCCATCGTTTCCACTGAATGAGTGTAAACTTGAAACTAAACGATTCTGAATATCTAACTATATTCAAATTACAATTGCACGCTTTCATATTCCGACAGGGGTTTAACTCGTTATTGTTTTGGCCAATTTTACACACGGCACTATTGTATTTCACCCATCCGAGAAGCATTTTCTAAAACAATTCTATTGTACGCCCTTCAACTTCAAAATGTCTGTTAGTTATGGCCTCGCACGTCGGCTTTAAGCAATATACAGTTCTCTGGCCTACGGTATTGGTCAAGAGCCCTTAGCCAATCCCCGGTATCATGTGAACATGACCTGATAAATATATTATTTGTAGTTTTTTCTGCAGTCACTCATGGTCACGAAGGAGATGCGTTTGGATTTTCGATGAAAGCAGAACAAAATCCTTATTCTTAGTTTACAAAATGTATAATAAAACAATTATCGAGTTCGGTTTTAACATGATATCGTGAATTATCAAGAACTCGGCTATTTTATCCCCCTCAGCTCTGCCTACAGCTTCGGCAGATAATTGATGGTTTTCACGGCAGCCATGTTGGAGGAACTTTTCAATGAATTCTTTTTTATATACTCCAACATGGCCGCCGTGTCTTTTGTTATTTAATTCTCTTGGGAATGGTTGAAAACCATCAATACGGCTTTCATGGTCTTGATAATTTACTATTTAAGCAATAGAAAACTTTTTCCGTGTTTACATAGCCTGATAGCAACACGAGGGGAGGTTGGGAGAATTCGAGACAGTTATGCACACCCGAGACGTAGTCGAGGGTTTGCATAACTGTCGAGAATTCTCCCAACCCCCCGAGTGTTGCTATCAGGCTATGTAAACACAGAGAAAAA